ATAGTGGAGTAGATCGAATGCAATATCTGATACCAAAGTTTGTGAGATAAAAGTGAAACATTAACGGCAAAAAGAAAAAGATTCTTAAAGCTCATACCAAACATTTTCTTTTTTATACACTCTTGGAGGAGGAAGAAACCACGATCTTGGAGGAGGAAGAAGCCACGATCTCCATTTAGACATTGCAGAGTCTCCTCGTAGAGATAGCGTGCAATGTCTTTCTTACCAGCAGTAATTGCAACGTGGATAGCAGGGTCTAATATACTTTCAGATCTTGAATCCGGATTGTCGCGTAAGAACTGCTTTACTTTGCCAATATTCCCCCGGCAAATCAAATCATGCAAGGTCGTATGTTGCACTGCCAATCATGTTTGTAACTTGTAAGGCAATAGAAATTCGACCTCCAACAACAAATGCGCAGAATAAATAGCAAACTTAAACAGAGGATATGTAATAAAACCTGTTGGCGTTTCTTCTTGCAACTCGTCATTGTCCTGAGGGATTTCTTCTTGCAACTCGTCAATGTCCTGAGGGAAAACTTCTCGGAGCTCAGCAAGATCGTGATAGGAAGGTGGTCGCTGCATTTCGGCTAAAGCATCCCAAGCAGCTTTGGCTGAATCCATCTTCTTAATCCGATTGAACATTTCTGTTCCGCATGAAACCTTAATTGAATGCAGAGCTAAAGCATTCTTTTGAATCCACTCTCCCTGGTCAGGCATCTCATTTACTTGAACAACGTCCCAAAGATTTTGAGCTACTAAATAATGTCCCATTAAAATGCTCCACCTTTCATAATTTTCTTTTCTAAGAACTTCTGGTACAATCATGCTTGGACAAGTAGCCATGTTAGCCTGTAGAATATTTCACCATACATAAAATTAATGTCCGTACTAAAGTGCATTTGAAGAAAAAAAATTATTTAGAGGAAAGGACTTTTTTGAAGAAATTTACACTTCATTGGTTAAAATTTTTAAAAATTAGTTATGCTGTGTCATTTGCCAGTGGCTTAAAATTGTAACTCAGCCTTTCAAAGTTCAAACTATAAAATTTTTTTCTTGGAATTTCACATCCAAATTGGTCAAAAGTAACAATGTTTATGCACTTGTAGCAAGGTTTTTAAAACTGGACCGGACTGGCCGGTTGAATCGGTCGGATCGGTATCCGGTAATGAAAATGGTTTGGTTCACATAAAAAAATCATTTGATGTCAAAATCGGTCAAAATTGGTCAAAAATCGTTTAAAACCGGTCAAAACCGGTCAAAACCGTTCAAAACCGGTCAAAACCAATAAAACCGATGGAATTGATAGAACCAAAAAAACCACCAGTTCAGTTTCTCATGCAATTTTCTTTTTATTTTTTTCAATTTCACCATCGCCATTCCTTTCTTATACCGATTTTAACCCTTAATTTTAATGAAATTACAAAATTACCTATTCCTCTCATTAAATTTCCCTTGTTATTTGAACTGATCGGTTCATTGGTTCAACCAATTAAACCAATCAAACCAAAAACCGAACTTGAAAATGGTTCAATGACCGATCCGGTTTTAAAAACCTTGACTTGTAGAGATTAAAATAATAAACCATGTAAATTTACTTACAAATCGGGTGATGATATTCCAGATCTGGGAAGCAAAAGGGAGGGAAATGGAATGATGTTCTCAAATAGAGGGCTAGAATTATTCGGCTAGATCTGGGAAGATACAACCTCCTACCCTTGATCAATCGGGAGTACGATGTTATGTCATTTTATTTTTCTCCCTCTCCTTCTTTCTTTTCCTCCCTCCATTTATTAAAAAAACTTAAAGTAAAAAACTTTCTCTCCTGTAATTCTTTTTATAACTAAATAAAGCAATTTTTTCTTTATTCTTCCAACTCAAACCAAACGTATCTATAAAGTATAATTAAAGTTAGATTTTTTTTATCAATTAATAATTAATTTAGATTAAAAACAAAAAACATGTATAGAAACAAGGTAAAACAACAAAGGATAATTAAACTTGATCAAACCGTATAAAGTGCAAAGATAAGTCAAGATCTAAAGAAAATTAAATGTCAAAGAATTATCACCATTCACTCGTCAATATCCATAGAAAAATCTATCCACAAAAGAAACAGATGATGGACTTAACATGGAAATTCGAAAAAAATAAATAAAGGAAGGAAGGGAATGAGAAGCTATGTACCAGAGTTTTGACTGAAGAAAAGCGATCGAGGGCAAGGAAGAGGTTGAAGGTGACAAATTAAACCAGCAAAGTGAGATCGAGGAGTGGCGACGTCAACGATTATAAGGAAGAGTTTTGAATTATCTAGGACAGTTCATATAGAGATGAAGATCGGCTGATGTTCTTATTAGATGCTGCTTTACCAAATGAAAGAAACCGCGTCCGCTCTCTTTTTCAAAAAGCGAAAATCAAAAAGCAAAATTATTGCCTTGGACCAACTTGTTTCCTAAATCGACGGTAGCGATTCAAATTGATTTTATTTTTCGGTAGAAAAATTCAAATTGATTTACCATTGGCTTTTTATACTACAGACCATCTTTTTCAGTGAGTGCCTCTCACTTTTTTTTTCTTTTTGTCTTTTTTTTTTTTGTTTTTACATTTTATCCAAGAAAAATTACATTTTGAAAGCTCATTC